TCAGTGGCCAGGAAATGAATCACTTCAAGTTGAGGTTGAAATTTTAAAATCCTGTTGATTATATTACAGAACAAATGTAACTTTTTTTATCCTCAACAATGCAAAAATAATAATGTAACTAACACATATAAGAGAGAAAAAGAGGAAAGAGATGGGGAGTGGAAATGATCATGCGAATGGCCTCAGATTTTAAAGGAAGAATTGGGATGATGTGTAACATTTAAATGTGTATATTTAAAAATGCATCAAACTTCTAATATTTTGCATTAGCTTTTCTTGAGAGATCCTTTATGAAATAACATCTCTTGATAAATAAACATTTATTTCAACTTCAGCAATTCTTTTCAGTTCATTGTTTTCTTTCATCCATGAGCTGAGTACCATTCATGTAATTTAGTAAGGCTTGGGCACAGACTCACAGTAAGGGTGGAATGCGGAGGAGAGGGCCATGAAGGGAAGCCTAAGGAAGTAGGCAGAAGCTAATAATGAAGTACTTTGTGTCTACCAGGCTAAGAAATTTTGACTTTTCCTATAGGATAATAGGGGTGGAGAGGGGTGGGATAAAACCAATAGATTTTTTAACCCAACTGGAGACCTGCTCACACGTGTATTTTAAAAAGATCATTCTGTCACTTGGTTGCACCATGTTTTATAATCCCTTGAAGTGACATGAATTGGAGATAGCATGGTTTTACAAAGCTAGATGATAGTCAGGATTAACCTAAGTTCCTGATCTTTCCTTCAAGTTTGTAGATTTTCCTTTAGATTCATAAACATTATGTGGGTACAAACTTTCGTTACAAAATAAACTATAAGAATTTTATTTTTCCTGCTTAAATCTAATGCTAAGTAGTATGCTAATCCTCAGAGATGTCAGGACAAGGAAAAGAACCAGGATATATGGGCTTTCAGGCTGGGCCCTGCACAAGGCCTCGGGGCTGTGCCATGAGCACGGAAGAGAGCGAACCCCCTGCTTGGAGCTGTGAATTGTGGAGGCCCCGGGCGGTGAGAAGAGCTAGTAGATCTTGTATGGCCAACCTGCCCTCTCTCATCCTTCAAACAAAGATGGCTACAAAGTCCTATTTTTTAAGGCCTCAAGGAATGTAATCTAAAATTCATTTGACAATAATATTGATATTTAATAATCCTCATTATTATCAAATTCTTTCTTGTGGAAAATGAACACATTTTTCTCACTTTTGCCCCTTTTTTTCTGGTTATTTCTTCTTCTGAGAAGGTCAGTTGACAAAATCATTTGCTTAGCATAGTCTCTAATGTAATTGATGCTGACAAATCGCCACAGCTTTCTCTTTTCCAACTAAATAGTCCTTGCTCTTTCAGACACCTTCTAATTTCCCATCCTTTGTATCTTGATCTTTTATAAAATAGCTTACAGCCTGGCCAGTGTTGCTCAATAGTTGAGTGTCGACTATGAACCAGGAAGTCACGGTTCAATTCCTGGTCAAGGTATATGCCCGGGTTGCAGGCTCAATCCCCAGTATGGGGTGTGCAGGAAGCAGCTGATCAATGATTCTCTCTCATCATTGATGTTTCTACCTCTGTCTCCCTCCCCCTTCCTCTCTGAAATCAATAAAAACATATTATAAACTAGCTTCCAGTGTTGCACAGGATTCAATAATAAAAGCAAACATACGTGAGAAACATAGTAGTAGAATTATGTCCACAGTCTTGAAAATAAAAATTCTGTATTTATAGGTCAGCATCACTATTACATTTTTGATAATGCGAAATTATTTTATTCTACTTGTGCTTCATTAAAAATCCTCCTTTTCAAAATCACTGGAGATTGGAAGTATGAGCACTATGAATGGAGAGAACACATTTGAAGAATAATTGTATTTGGAAAGGGTTTTGATCACACATTGGTTTTCTACTGCCCTTGGAACTTCATCCCTTCTGTGTGTGTTCCCACTACCCAACTTCTGTTCAGTATCTAGCAGACTGGTGCTTCATGGGATACTGACTGCTTCTCAGCCCGGAGTGTGAATCCCTTTTAGTGTAAATCAGCCACAGTGCAGTCTCCTTTCCTGGGGACCAATGTCAGCATGGGCATGGGCCCAGTTCTGTTCAGTGGACTTAAGGCAGAGCTGGGTGAAGTGGGAGGGCTTTGGGCCTGTTTGCTTCGTTCCAAAAAGACACCCAAAGAAGCGGGATTGTCTTTATTGGATATTATTATTTGAGGATATGCTGTTTGGAGCTGTTGTAACTATCTTATAAACATGAGGGGACAGGTCAGAGAGATAAAAGCCAAGATCCTGAGGATGGCTGAGTGAGTAGAAAGATGAAAAGATCCTGGGCTCCTGATGATGTCATTTAGCTGTCTTGTGAATCTAAGCCCGAACTTCTCATTATGTAAGATGATAAAGTCCTTTATTGTTCAGTGGTTTGCCAAGTGTGGTCCCAGACCAGCAGTATCAGCATCATCACCTGGGAAATTGTTAGAAATGCAAATTCTTGGGTCCCTCCCAGACCAAGGGTAAAGAAAGGCTAGGAGTGGGCCCCAAGAGCTGGTCCAGAAAGCACGCCAGGGGATTCGCATAAGCCCCCAAATTTGAGAACCACTGGTTTAAAAGCCATTGAGTTGGGTTTCCTATTATTTGCAGCTAAACATATTCTAATAATTACAAGTACTTGTATTATATGTATCTTTTCTGGGAAACTCTATCAGTTAATTTGATGTGTTTGGGGTTTTTTTCATATTGAAGTCATTTGCACATTTAGAATGTTGTGGATGGGAAGATCTGGAGAAATGAGAACATGTATATTCTCTGATAAGAGTCCAGGGCTCAGATAGGCGGGTCAAGAGTTGAGGTAGGATTTTTAAGGTGAAAGGAATTTTGGAAAAAATTTTGAGCTTTTAGAGTTCCTAGGTAAATAGAGGAAACTCTGATATAGAAGGGGAGAAACAACTTCAAAAGTACACCTCCAAACAGAGGAGCCAGTGCCCAAAAGAGGGCAGAATTTTTCTACATGCAGTGGCAAAGGCTGTGAGAACTTGAGGGCTCAGGTGGATTCAAGAAAAGTAGTTTCAGCCCAACCGGTGTGGCTCCGTGGTTGAGCGATGACTTATGAACCAGGAGGTTGGTTGCTGTCCGATTCCTGGTCAGGGCACATGCCCGGGTTGAGGGCTTGATCCCCAGTGTGCGGCGTGCAGGAGGCAGCTGATCAATAATTCTCTCTCATCATTGATGTTTCTATCTCTCTCTTCCTCTCTGAAATCAACAATGTATATTTTTTAAAAAGAAAAGTAGCTTCAGCATGACATCAAGGAGGTGCCAAGGAAACCACCAAATTGCTACGTGGGGTCCTTTGGAGCTATGAGGTGAAAGCAGGCTCAAGAGACAAGAGCAGAAATGCAGGTAGAAAAGTCCAAATGTAACAGGAGAGCCTGGAGGGGTGTTCAGTGTTTTCAAACTGTCCACCACATGAGATTACAGAGTTCTATTATTTAGAGACCACTGTCCAAACAAGAATTGTAAACACATTTCACTTAGTTGTGTAAATCAGAGAAATGTGGAAGAGCCGCATGACTGGGGCGAAGATGAAGACACGGCATATTTTAAAAGAAGCAATTCTGCCTTTTGTCCTTCAACTGGTGGCATCTAAGAACTGCCGTATGTAATGCTGGCTTCACTCAAATACTAGTACACTTCGTCAACACAGGGTTAGATGTCCAAATGAATGAACAGTCTGCCCAAGGCCACCTGGAAACTTGCTCTTGCTAAGTGACATTAAACCTGGGTCTATGGCTTCAAGAGGGACTAACTATGGTCTGCAGATCAGCTCAATGATATTGGACTCTTGAGTCTAATGACAGCACCACGAGAATATGACAGCACCAAAAAGCCATCTGCACCTTCCAAGCTGACTACTAAAACCATCAATGGGTCAGAATCCAACTTCCTACATCAATGTGATGCAATCTTTATCTTTCATCTTGTTATAACACTTAGCTTCCTCCTAAAAGTTTATGAATTGGTTTTGAGTATTTCCAGACCTCTGGCCCTTTGAAACAACTCTTCACTTTTTTATTTGTCATTGGCTCTTCTGGGAAAACACATTTGCCAATTCCGGCTTGAAAAGACTCCCCTGGAGTGACATCTACCATTTACCCTCTTGTCATTACACTTCAGGGATATCTAACCTTGCAGATCATGCCTCCTTCTTTGCCAAACAGGAACCCTCAGAACAATCCATCATGGCACAATAGGTCACATTGTCCCCTGCAAGTTCCTAAGCACCACATGGTGCATGCCAGTCATGTGAATTAAGAGCCATTATTTTAAAATCATCTTCTAAATTCCTCTGCTTTTTATTTGTTCAAAAGAGATGGCACCCATGTTACTGCACTGCTATAATTTTAGGGTAAAAATGTATAGAAATATTTCTGACAAGGAGGAAGCATTGTCCTTGGTAAAAATCAAGTTATGTTTATATTTTCTGCCTAAATTGCACCTCATGGCTCTGTCTTTACTTCTACGTGTTCTCCATGTACGTACGCATGCGTTTAATCCTGTGTGCATCTCTGGGAGGCTGCATGGCAGAGTGCACAGGTGCACAGATTCTGGGACTGCAGTTCTGGGTTTGACCCCTGGTTCTGCTGTTCATGAGCTATGTGTCCTCCAACAACTCATTTAACCTCTTTGTGCCTCAGTCTCTTCATCTATAAGATGGGGTGATTCTTAATACCTGAGGTTTTGAGCTATAAAGAATTTAATATTTATATAGCATTTAGAACAGCATCCAGCATCTTGCAAGGATTCTGTTTTGTAAAGTCTTTTTTTTGTTTACTTAACACATTTTCTTTTCAAAAATTTTGTGATTTGGGGATTTTCTGGTTCCCAGAACATATTAACATTGAGAGGCATCAAATGTTTTTGTAGGAGCCAAGTGTTTACTGTTTACTCCAAAACACCAGGAGTGGCTTCATGTTAAATCCAGAATCCACCTTGAAAAAAATATCCTCAAGGCTTTATTCATTTCATAAATAATGTATTTTATTTTATTGCATATGGCTATTAAGGAGAGCATCCATGATCAATACAGACTAAATACAATGCACTATTCTAGTTCCATTTATTCTTGTCTCCAGCAGCATCACATTGACCCTTATATACAGCGTGTACAGTGGAAGACAGAGCAAGATTAGTTAAGTCTTTTGTCATATCACAATAGCAAGAAATATATTTAACATCTTGATATTCAGAAACAATACGTACCCAAAAAAGAAAACACTGTTTAATAACTGTTAAAGTTTATATAGCAAAAAATATTTTAAATTTAAGGTAAGTCAGGCAAAATGTACAAAGACCCCAATATACATTGTGAAGTTTTAGCAAACATAACATTTATACATTTTGGTTCCATTCTGTAAACTAAATTAAAACTGTAAATATTGCATATGCCTTTTTTGAAATGTACAGGATAGAGGAACATTTAGCATATTACCGACTTTTCATTTGCTAGTTTGAAGTTGCAGTATGAACATGAACCATTGGTATAGAGGCATGACTACTCTAAGTATAGAGAGCTACTTAAATACCGTCATACACTGTATTCAGCAGGGCCCATATTCAGTCCTACGTACCTGGGGGAGTCACATAGCAAATACCGCCCGAGTCCTAGTCCCAAGACTAAATCAACACTTTAGGACATTTTATACATTTTTATAAAGTATGTCTATTATACACTGAAATTGACCTTCAAACTAACGTCGTACGCTCTATGCACTGCTGTGATGTGTAATTTTAGAAAAGTAAAACTTTTAAAAAACGTCCAGGGGGATCACTTTACATTCAACTTTGTCTTGCAATACAATCCTCTGTTCTAAGAGTTCAGCATGGAAGCAGGAAGACGTTTGCATTGCCATTAAATATATTCTTAAGACATTGAATTTTTTGGTCTTCCTCTAAAAAAGCCTCATTTTTAGTAATGCATTATTCTATAGCGATATATATCTATATATTTATATATAATTTTTTCTCCAAAAAAAAAACAGAAAAAAAAACAAGTTCACACCTCCAATGAACTAGTGTAACCTCTTCAGGACTATCAGAGAAGATAGGCACTGGGGATGCACCCATGGGAGAAAAAGGTCTGGAGCCCTCCATCACGTGTCAAGGGAGCAGCGAGATGACATGACGTTCTGCTGGTCAAGGGCAGCAGTTTTAGGTGACACCTGTGAGAATCGACACAACACTGGTATTTTCAGAACACTGAAAACGTAAGCGTAGTCTTGTCAGGAGTTTTCCAACACGTGACATGTACTGTGAGATTGTTTTCCTTCTTTTTTCTTTTTCCATTAACAATGCAGGGCTGGAAATGCCTCTTTTATCAGTTTCTTTCCTCCACCCCCCTCCCGTGTTTTGTTGTACTTTTGTTCAGGGAAGCCTCGTTGGCCCACACCATAGCATTATAGTTAAGATAATAAATACATTTTTAAAAACTCTGCTAAACCGGTGACCACCCTTGAATTGCTGGCATGCCTAGGTGAGTTTTTGGTTAAAGAAATGCAAGCTCAAGATTAAGGACAGCAGAGACCTTTGAGCTTGTAAATAGGATCAAAGGCTTTCGCAATTTGAAGTACCTACATAAACATCTACATAGAGAAGATTAAACAACTCTGTTAAAAAGAGATATTCAGCCCCTGCCCCAACACCTCCCCTCCCACCCCCAATACCCAATACAGTTGATGATTTCCAAAAGTAGGCTGCTTTAGTTACATATAATTATTATTTATTAATCCATCTTCAACGTCCAATCACAAATTTCATTCCCATAGAGAAACGTCAGCCCCACACTGGGCTCTGTCTGTGAGTAAACACGCAGGAACCTGGATTGGAGTCCAACAAGCAGCTGTGTACTGGGACCAGTTGAATAAGGCTGATGACCACACTGGCGCCACATTCAGCAGAGATACACGGAGGTCCTGCCGGCCCCCAACCCCGCAAATCCGGCTTCACCTGGAACTGAGGTAGGACTGTGGTAGTTTTGAGTGTATGCCAGTAAATACCAGATTTTACCACTTTAATGGGTATCGGTAGAATCTCCTAGCATGCCGAGGGACAAATTGGCTTTGCCAAAATGAACGTAAGAAGAAATTAAGACACTGGCCACAACTTAAAAGGCCAATGAAAACATCCCATCTTCTTGAGAATTACTTCTTCGGCAAATTGTGTTAAAACAACGAAACACAACACAACACAAACAGCACAAGGATGAATGCCCCCTATGGGAGCCAGTGAGGGAGGCGGCCGTTCTTGCCTTGTTGGTTTCATGTCTAGTACAGCCGCAGATGTTTAAAACAAAGTAATTGCTCAGATCCAAAAGAACAACTGTAAGCAGCTTCAAATGTTTATAAAATGCTGAGCCTCTTCTTTTCCATGTGATTCTCTGATGTGTGATGTTGTGGTAATGAAGCCAGGCAGGTCTTCACTCTGAAAAAGACAAGAAGTCAGTCAGTAGTGATTGTCAGGAGAACATGATGATCCTGAGTGAGAGAAAAACCCTTCTTAACCTGCCTTTCTAATCTGTGACTTTCATAAAATGATGCACTTTGGGAAGCAAACATTTATTCAATCCCCTCTTCCAGAAACAAGTTTGATGGGTACAGTCCTATTCGGTTTCCCTGGAGGCAGAACTACTAGGTTTAGAGTGAGTTGTGAGGTCCAGAGTGAAGCTCACATTTTCAATTGAAGAAAACTATTCACACGTGCTGTTGTGAGTCATTCCATTGAATGAGACATAGAGGCATAACTCTACCCTTTAAAGAGAGGGGCTGTGTGACCTGGCAAGGGCCCCTCTAACTGCCCCTCTCGATTCTTTGAGGGGGAAAACCCACTGCCCTCCTGACAGGGCTGCTGAGAAGACGAGAAAACACGGCACACGTTAAAGTACATTGTAAACTACACCGACTGCCCACAATGTGTATTATAGTAAGAAAGAGGGAGAAGTAATGAGTCCTGCTCTCAGGAATTTGGATCATCTACCCTATTCCTAAAACAACCCAAGATTTCAAAAGCTCCTGCAATGATGCACTTGTTACATACTCTTCATCTACCCAAGTCTCCATGTTCCAGGTTAATTTACTTCCTTGCTGAGCGTGGAGGGGGCATGGCACTGAACCCCAACCAGCCATCGTTGCTACTGCCCTTCCAGACTAAAGACTTTAACCTTTTTCCAACATTTACAGCATATTCTTACCGGACTTGTTCCTTCTTTAAGGGACAGACTCTGACATTTCATAGCATAGTACCTTTTCAAAAAAGCTTCTAGGCTCTTCAATAAACATGCCAAGTTGTTCATCTCCCCGCTCTCCATAACTCCATACTAGATTACTTGTGAGCACTGCTCGTCACACCCTGCCCTAAGCAGGTCTTGTTCTTCCTTGCAGTTGTATTTCCATAACCTGCATTTCTGATCATTTAGAATTCTGATCCTAGACACCCACCACCCTCTCTGGTTTACTTCTTTGTAAATCTCGTTCTCCTCTGTTCACCTTGAGTTCAGAGGACCGATCCCAGCAAGAGAGAAATTTCCAGTGTGTCCCACAACGGGGAGTGAGTGTGTGAAACCTCCCGGGCTCTGCACGCCAGGCAGGCAGTCCCCTGGTACAAACTGACAGCACCGACTGCATCGTGGGGCCAGAAAAACAAAAGCCTGCACAGACTGGGTGCTGTCAACCTGCAAAGGAAATACTGGTTCTTTTCATGACTGTTTTTAAAATGTCCCTGCAAGGAGGCAGTGCTAAGTGTGTCTTATTATTTTTAAAAAGCGTCACTTAAGTCCTTCAAAAAATATAATAGGCAAACTGTTCTATGAACGAAACCTAACGGAAAATAGGACCCAAACTGTCCTTCGAAGGAAAGATGTGTCCTCCAGCTATTTCACTCATTATTATTGTGACTTCCGGGCCTAAGAGAGGCTGCACTGAGAATATGAACATTTTAAGGTTCGCACACCTTAAAAGCAGGCACTTGCTAAAATGTACCTGAATTTGCCTCTCACTCTAAAATGACTGCATTTTGTCACTCAAGCCGTGATTGTGAGACGAATCCACCGACCACCCCAGAGTAGTAAATCCAGACCCCACGGATCCACTTAACGAAAAATTTCTATTCACAGTTTATTTTTACACTAATGATTCGCTAACTGTGGCTAAACTGTCTCCTGTTAACTCCATACCCATTTCTCGAAAACAGCTAAACAAGTTCTTTATTTTCCCCAATTTAAAACACATAATCATATAAATGGGGGGTTCATGATTGCTGGAAATTTACTTTCCATTCTCATCTACAAAGTCAGAGGGCCATGGCCACTGTCACTCCGTTTTCAAGGATGCTTTGTTGCTATGAAACAAGTCCTATCACTAGATGTCCGTGAGCTCTCATCAATTTGAACACATACTTTTATTTTCTGAAGTACGATACAATTATCATGACCTTAATTTCTCTGCATTACCATTATGAAAGAAAAGAGTTGATAATGGCAAGGAAATCATTCATTCATGCTTTTATTCATAAAATAACCTTTACAAAAAAATTCTAGTTTGGCGCAGGGCCTCTCTAAGGCACATGGGATATGCATGAGTGAGAGAGTTCCTATCAGAACGGGAGTCCCACGGCAGCCCTTCTCTTGGGAGGGAGTGAAAGCAGGCCTTTGAAACATGTGCAGCACTCTAGAAATGCCTAGACTGTAGAGGATTGCCAGGCTGCGGTTACCAGCAAAGGAGAAAGCTATTCCAAAAGCACAGCAGAAGCGAGGGCTGTCAGCAACCCAGTGATGCAATTTAATGTTGGGACAGTAAGGAACCCAATTTCCCAGGAGGACGAGCTGCACTAGGCCTCTCTAAGGAAAGGAAGGGGCAGGGAGAGCCACTGATGACTGAGGTGCAGGCACACGCGTGCGTGTACTGTCGCAGGAGGAGGAATCTGTTCATGGCACCTGAGACAGGAGCGAGCAGGCTCAGGCCAGGGGGGCCAGAAGGAGGACGGCCACCAGCTCAGAGGCAGTTGCTTGGACATGAGGTGTGCAGTGCTTCAAAGACATTTTTGAATATAGAGATGTGCACTAGAGCAAAGACAACATGGATGCAACCTGTCTCCTCTTAGGATACACAACAACTGCTTTCCCTGGACGCCTCCTATCACTGCAAAGGGAGAGAACTGAGACTGGTGGGTCTCCTCATGGCTCATGGAACCTCAGTCCATGCCACCCAGCAGCCTCCACTGAAACATCTGTGGCTTACCACCAACACCCTGGACATCCTCCCCCACAGGAAGTACCTACAGCAAACATAAATAGAGCTAGCCATCAAAGGCAATCCTTGCTGAGATATAAAAGAAGAAAAGGCTGTGGATACCTCCAAATCGGAGTGAGATGACTATTACTTGCTGAGCAAAAGGATTCTGACAAAATCTATGGAAGGTAAATACAAAGAATGCACAGAGGAAAAAGGGGTCTGTTTTAGAAACCTAACTACAACTCGTTAATGTTATGGAAAGAAAGCCGGAGATAGAAGATAAGTGCCTCAACTGAGATCTAAAACCCCCCTTTCCAATATGGGTGGGATGTAAATCTCTGGTGCACATGCCAGCAAGGGCTCTGCCCTAGGACCACAGGAGGGAATCAGCCAAAGGAAAAGGTGGCATGGGAACTCCTCAGGAAAGATGCCAGGGCTAAAAGCATTAGCATCAAACCAGGTCTGGAGGCCACCTGGAAACCCTTCTTGAGGGTCACTCCCCCACCCACAGGAAGAAGGGGAGAGAGGCAGGAGCTGGAACCTAGGAATGTGAGCACACTTTCGGTCTTTTTATTTAAAGTAAGTTCAGTTATCCCTCCCCTTGCAAATTAATCTGGTTCTTCCAGACAAGGAAATAAAATGTCTCCTAACACTACTACTATCCTGATAAATTCAACTTCCATGGAGGGCTTCCTAATGATGAGATTCAGCAAAATTTTATTTATTTGATTATCTATATTAATTCTAGTAGAAGCAAAGAACAAATGATTAATTTTAGGATCACTGCACACTGAATATTCATTAAGAGGGGAGACATTCTTTGAACACATTAGGTGCAGCAGCAAAACAAAAGAGAATATAGCAAGAAGCATGTGTTGGTCATGAATGCAATTACCGAACAACCTGCACCGATTCTGCTCCTAGAGGCAATGCAGCTAAAAATAAACTTATTGATACTCATTGAATCTGTCATATAATTACACACTGTACTATTCTGCAGCTTAGACATTGCTCTGTCCAGAATCCCATTCAAAGGAGCATTGATCTAGAGTTACTTGATTTAAAACACAACTTTCAGCAAAAAGATTAAAGTTGTTTCATATGACAGGTCATGCAGGCTAGCTAGTCCCCATATTTTGTTTTTCTGCTCTGTCACATATGACAAATGATGTTCATATGAGTACAGTCCCAGGTTCCAGTTAATTCCCTGGAGACTACTAATAACTCCACCCCATTTCTAAAATATGGAAGAGCAATCAGAATGCAAATGACAAGAGTAAAGGTGGGGCCCGGTAAAGACCAAACCTTCAATCTGCTCTATTTTACAAGATAGATAGATAGATAGATAGATAGATAGATAGATAGACAGACAGACAGACAGACAACTGAAAAACTTTGCCATTAAAACAAGTGGGAAAGCTCCCTTTCCCTAGGTGGGACAAATGTTAAAGTACTAACATTCCACGCCACCTGTCTGCTGGGCTCCATGATTCCAGTCACATTAGTGGAACATACAGTGAAACATCAGGTCTAGAATGTAGAGCTCTATGGAAGGCTCCATATATAGCTCCATGATACAACTCCATGTAAGGCTCCTCAACACCTCCATGGAGGGCTCCATACACAGCTCCATGGAGGGCTCCATACACAGCTCCATGGAGGGCTCCATACACAGCTCCATGGAGGGCTCCATATACAGCTCCATGGAGGGCTCCATACACAGTTCTATGTAGGGCTCCATATACAGCTCCGTGTAGGGCTCCACATATAGTCCCATGTAAGGCTCCATGTAGGCCCATATGAAGCTAAGTGCAGAGTTTCATGTGCAGCCCATGTAGACAGTCCCATGGAGGGCTCCACGGCACTGCTGCAGGGAACAGGGCCTCACTGGCCTCACAGTAAGCAACACTGGACCAGATAGAGTACAAATCCATTTAGTAGGGAACATTTTCAGGCATATCCGAATTAAGAGTTCTACAGACATGATTTGCATGACAAAATGAAAAAATATACTTAAAATAAAAATTTATATTTTGGTAGCAACTATGATTAAGAAATGAACTCTCTGGTGAGCCCACACCTGTCCTTCAGGCCCATTCAGACCTTTTGTGTAAAACATAGAATTATGGAGGGAAAAATAAACTTTTTCTAGGAATGAGAAATTCCTAGAAAAATAAACCTGATAGTTCAGTATCT